TTTCGCTGACGATTATTAAAATATAGCTAGAACTATTGCCATATTATTGCTAAACATGATCTGTTCCGATCGTGATAGTAAATGTTGTATCATGCTATAAAGATCCGCTCTTGCGGTTTCATATTTGCTCTTTCCGTTTTCTTTAATGGCTACCAACTATCAGTTTTGGGTCAACCTGTACGTTTAAATATTCTCAGAAGGGATGATGAAAGCAGCTTATGAAATGTGTAAAGGGACAAATAAGCATTATTATACGCATTTCGTGCCGTCTGGTAGTAACATCGTTGGAAACAAAAATTAAAAAAGTACGCAACGATGATATTGAACCACCCATAACGCGTCGTTATTTTAAAAATCACCAAAAAAAATGCCGATATGAATCATATGGGAATTAAAACGCCATTGGTGATATTTTTAAGTGAAAAGTTATCATTTTGTTGTTTGTTTCTACTAGGGTGAAACCGAATTAATTAAACATTAGCGCATAAATACGTAACAAGAATTAAAAGTTGCGTACATATCCTTTCGTTTTACTCTATTTGATCCCAGCCGTTTCAGTTTTGAGTCAATTCTTGATCGCGCTGTTGTTCTAAGAGTACCACGAAAACATAGAAGAATGACTAACGTCCGTCCCGTCGCGATAACGTTAATATTTCGGCGCCATGTTGGTTTTCGTTTAACGCAGAAGTGTTGTGAATAATCGCATAGGCGATAACAAGTTACTGTGCAATGTAACTACTGTCACTCAGATATAGTGTGGGAATTACTGCTCTAATCAGTTCGCTGTACAGGGTGACAACTTTAAATCGCTGTTGCCGCTGAATTGTCGCTAAACATTGAGTGCTAGACAGTGCTAGAAAAATTGACTAAAAATTTTGTTTTAGGTGACATGTTTATAGGAACTCCTTTTATTAATTTTGTGATGTAGAATTCGCCATTAAAGTTTGACCAAGCATTCCAGTTATACCCTGAAATTAAATCGACTTAATTTTATCATCTGGCCTTACGTTGTGCACGTATTTTAAAGGCGCCCATATAATTTCACCGACACTTGAACCAATTAATGTTTTACTACGTCATTAACACGAACTGCCGGTAAATATGCAACAGTTTTCCTAATGACCGGGAAGCGCGCGCTCGCTATATTATATAGGGTAAAAGGTCGTAGGTCACCAGCAGTTCATCATCCGGTTGCTAGGTAACTTGCTGAAGAACCGTTCAAACAAATTATATGACTTTCCCGCGGCACCGGGACTCATACCGTCCCCACCTTCGGGATTTACCCTACGGGGTCGGATATTGACCCAGATAACAACGGGTCTGTGTACCCTTATTTAAACAGAGAGTTAAGTAAGTCAATCCTCAGCTCCCAGGGGATCCTTCGGAGGTTTGCGATTATAATTTGTTTTACTAAAGGAATCGGCAAGAAGAAGTTAATGAGAAATACTTATTTACACCGTAAAGGGGGTAAGTATTATTTACCAGTAGAGGACGATTTTGCGCCCGAGCGGAGCGAGGGCTGGCAATAGAGTCCGAGACTGGTAAATTATACTTAACTGCTGCGTGGTGTATAACATTTTATTATCTGCTCCCACAGTTCTTTACGGTTCATGAAATAAAGATTAGGTTTTATTTTTTGACATTTCTTAATCAATTTATTTTGACATTATTCGGAATCTGGCAAAGTCGCCTTGTTTGTTTGGATTTTGTCGTTTCTAAGATAACACATATTTGCTAATGAAGGTAGTGACGGTCTTAGGCATTTACAAGATCATGCCGTTCTGATGAGTTATGCAAACTTACATTGGACAACGTGAATTTCAAAAATTTCGATGACGTTATTGTAGTTACAATTCCAGATTGTATGTTTACAATTACTTCTCGTCTGGATTCTGTTTCTCACCTAGAAATGCTCAAGAAATATATCAAAATTAAACTGGAAATTAAAACTGAAATTTCACGCTTTTTTATGTGCTATCAAGCAAGTAGATGTTCCAAGAAACCAGTCGGCAAAAATACCCTTTCTATGATTCCTAATAAGATTGCACAGTTTTTGAAACTAAAACATCCTGAAACATATACAGGCCATTCATCCCGAAGAATATCGGTAACGTTACTGGCTAATACAGGAGTTGATGTGTTAGCAATCAAGAGACATGATGGGTGGAAATCAGCCACAATTCAATTCAATACCTCCTTAAAAACAATGTATTAATAGTCTATTTACTATAGTGGGAGCAAATAAAATATATTTTCAACTTAAAAATGATGATGTACAAGTTTTAGAGATGAGTATTTTATACAGGGTGCACTTTACAGGAGGAGAAAATATTCTGGAAATAGCGTGAATTTGAGAAAACCGTATTTATAACAAAAAATTCCTGCAGATAAGAATAATTTTACAGTTACAGTCAATTTACTCAATCCGCTGTGTGGTAACCTTATTTTAGAATATTAAACTTGGTTTAATTGAATAAATTTCAGTTTCTACCAAATTTGTATTTAATATTGAAACGGATTACGCCCCACTTTCATCGAAATCATTTTATTATTCATGCTCCACCCGAACATGAATAATAAAATGATTTAACATCGTACGCCTACTTAACTAAGTTGGAACCTTACGGTAACGGCGGACTAATTGGTTTTAAATTTTTATGGGCGGTGGAAAACGGGAAGCCCGTGAGTTATAGCGAAGGCCTCGACCCCCGCAAGGGTTGAAGCGATGTTGTGGGAGTAGCGTCGGATTCCGAACGGCCGTAATTGAAGTGGGGCGAGCAATTACGGCCCTTCGTGCCCTACTGCTAGTGTCGGTTCATATCTCGTTACGGATTAGGTACATTTATTTTCATCGGGTAATCTCCAGCAACAAGTGAGTGACTTTTTTATGGAGAAACTCCCTGGTTGTTTAAATTTTATGCTTCAGATGAACTGATGCTATTTACCGACCTTTTTTTGTTATCCATGCATCTAATATTGTATGTAGAAACCGGGTTTATCGATGTCACAATATTAACACAGTACTTTGGTGGAAACGTGTAAATTTCCTGTGAAAAAAAGGTGACGAAATGTCTGTTTCGAGAAGCCAACCTCGCAGCTACGCTACGTCGTACACGTTCAATATACCGGGTGCTCCTCAGCGTCCATCCCCTAACAGACAGAAGCCCTGCCAGCCATCCATCCGCACCCGCGGTTGCCGGAGGCGTCTGGCTCGTTCCAAGAGCGAGTGTGCCGCATGTGTTGCCGCTATTTTTACAAGTCTCCGAGCGGGACACGGGCTTGGCCTCGCTTTATCAGCGCCCAGCCACCATGCCCGAGATACCGCTCGCTGCTCCAACAGGAAACGCTTCCTCTTGTTTCGGTTTCGACAAAACATGACTTAGTTCTGAGCCGGAGCCAGTGTGCCGCGCGCTGCTTGAACGGGACCAGCGAAAGTCTTCGTTCTTTTCTGTGTTTTTTTCTTCTCGATTGATAAGTGTCTGTGACCCTACGAGAACGTCCTTATTGTCTGCGATTAGATGGAGAACCGCAAGTGGAAGGGAGCCTGATTTTTTAATGGTTATTGTGCGCGCCGGATTGTGAAAGGTTCCGAGTTGATAATTGCGTTATTGTCTGCTTTCATAATGGCTTTTGTGGCGGATTTCGTACACGCTGTGTTGTTTGTACGGTGGTTCAATGTATAGGATTTGGCCGATGTTAAATAATGGTGGATTCGAGTGGCTTGTATAAAAGCTTGTTTAAATAAAACTCCTTTTAACGTTGCATAGTATCGTGTACGTTATAGCTTACACGTTTATAATAATTCTTCGAATATAGGAGAATTGAATTCGTTGGGGAGAAAAATGGGAAATCCTCGTGGAATCTCAGTAACTCGAAATGTTCGGGAAATGCCAATTTATCAGGGCCTTGTTTCAGAACGGGAAAAGCTTATTTATATTATATTTCCTTTATGAAAAAATATAACGAAACAGTTTGAAGATAAACAAAGGAAATATAATGGCTGTCCAATGTCAGAAAGTCCTAAAATTAAAAGCCCTGACATCAAAATTCGATAAGAAGAACATATTTTGCCTTGCAAATGAAAACTGGTGCGAGAAAAGAATAAATCATTATGCAAAATGCAGATATAGGTTTCGAAGCGTACTTTTTTTTATCTCTTTCTTCAGATGGAGACAAGTTATACGCCACCTTTAATTTTGCCTTGATCATTTTTTTATTTACCTATCTAATAATTTTCACTTCTTTCACCTGGTATAAATTTAAAAATAAATGTAATTAACCTTTTTAAAAGACAAATAAGACTTCACTAATGGAGAATTTCCAATTAACAATTAGCCGGAGGCAAGCAATACATTAGCTGATTTGCATTTCTTGTTTAATCACGACTTTTTAGACAAATATAGCCGCACAGGTACCGCGAACAAGTTACGTGGCTATTTTTTTTTTCACTTGTTTGCTTTTATTAGACGACTGCCTAATGGATATTTGAACTTGGAATATTTCGGTTCAAGTTTTGATTTACCAAACACGTGGCTAATAAAACGAGAAATTATTCGTTAACAGAATGGAAAATTATCTTCTTGAAACGAAAAATATATATTTTCTTCTTCGTAAGAGTGGTTATCTAGTGGCAACCTCATTTTTGTCAGCTAGCACAACACATAGGTGGAAGTAGTGTTGGTGATATTGATATAGAACAAAACAACATAAAATATCGTTGACACCGTCGACAGTAATTGCTTGTTTACCATATAAACGCGAACGCGATAATACAATCGAAATGGGTTGTGTACGCTGGATATCTCGAGAGGAAGGAAGCTGAAAATATAACGAAATATTTTCTGGCAGAGGTTACCTCATAAGCAACAATACCCGAGCCAACGGTCGAAACTGATTTTTGATAATGAAATTTTTCCGCTTTAGATTTAATCTCGATTTCATTATTTCCTTCTTGCCCCGCTTGAGATTTGTCCTTGTGACTTATTAATTTTTAACTAGCTAAATCGAGATTATTTTGGTATCGCTATCGACTTTGTCGTTTCCATTGTTCAAGTCTGCTAAATTGAAACGTAGCAGCGAACTTAATTTTAAGCAAGAAACTGTTATAGTCGGGAAGCATTTAATAAAAAAGTGCATGGGCTTTTGCAGTACAACACAGCGTGAATGAAATATTTCTGAAAGATGCTACATGTGATGAGCCTTAGGCTTGCCTGATTTGACTCTGTTTTAAAAGTACGTGTGGAAAAAATTAAAAAATAAAATGGGGCAGTTTCCTACAACCGTTGCCTATTAGATGTAAATGCATTTATGCACCATCTAAATTATTTATTAAATAAAGTATAGTTACTATGAATTATGACAACTTTTGTACTTAATCTAATTATTATTGAATGGCGTTAACGGACTGCATCGGTAAAACACGTGCTTAGAATTAAAATAGAGAAAAATGACTGACGCTTAGAACCGCAGTTAAAAATACAACACAAATAGATCATTTGCATTATCCAGAAATTAAAATGTTGAAACACGCGTTGAGGACCGCTGTGGAGCTGGATAGGTTGCCTCCGGAGAAGAGGGTGTCGATAGCCGGTGTCAATTTGAGGAGGAGGAGTTCCGTCTATAACGCACAAGTGATGAAGAAGCAGTTGAGGAGGAGCAGCTCCCTGTCTTGGCCCAATTCCCGGTCTTCCTATGAATGCGACGAGGTACATTGCCAAAAGATTGTTATTCACTTTAAAAATTGTAAAAGAATGTTTTCTTATGTAAATCTTTCTATATAGCATCTTATCTTATAAATAACAATTTATTTGTTAGCAGCGATATCCAGCAATGTTTTTTACGCACGGAAAAACGCATAGCATGCAATAATCCTCACTCGAAATGCACTGATATCAAACAGAAGCCGAGTAGATAACGATTTTATCTCGTGGGAATAAAACTTGACGGTACTCATAAAAAGTGTAGATTCCCCATTAGTCATATTTGTGATATAATTCGGCGTGTTCCAACCTAATTTTTGAAGCAGCGATCTTTTAGATAGAAATAGTCGTAAATAAAGTAGAGGCGTGACGAATTAATTGTTTACATTTTTTTTAACCACTTGGATTGGAATGGGGAAGTAAACATGTAATCTTGTTACAGATTGATTATCCTGACATAGAACAGAACAGAAGAGTACAAAATTCTCCACTAATGGATCATTCTCAGCATCGCAGCATCAACATAATGTTTGAGGATGCGGTAAGTAATACTTAAGAGTATTATTTTGTTTTCACTTTACCGTTTAATAAAAGTACATTAATAATAATAATAATAATATACCGCCTACTCACACTTCTTCGCGCGACAGGTATTGACGTATTTTTTGCAAATCGAAAAATGTATTCAATGAAAAATAACAAACAAAACATTTGAGAAAGTATAAAGTTTCCTGAAAAGCATAGAAATATCCAAAATGCCATATTAAACAACTCATATATTTATAAGAAACTCGTTGAAATGGAAGCTTCCAAGTTTTAAATTCCCATTTTGGTTACGTGGTTAAAAAAACAAATTTAAAAATAATTGTCCGATTTAGGGAGATAACTATTAAGTTTTATTAATTAAACCTCGAGTGAGACAGTATCAATAAATTTTAGATTAATACTTTTGTAATCGGTAAATTACATGATTATTAATTTTAACCTGTTATATCCAATTTTGACCAGTGTCTTAGTCAAAACTTGGATAAGTGATATTTTCCAATCTAGACTATAACTAGTCAATTAAATATTTTTGTTTCTTAGTATGGTCAAAACATTCCACGTCAGAGCCTATACCACAAGTGCAGCAGGGGTTCTCACTCTTCGGACACCAGCTCCGCATACAGCGGCTCCGACACCATGGCCTCCACCCACTCGGAACTCGACGGCGACGAGCTCGACCTCACTGGGCTTGTCGAGAGCATAGTTGACAGCGACGAGGAGGACGACCTGGTAGAGAGCATGGATGTAAGTCGTATCACTGCAACTTTTTAACCGTTGCATCGGCTGATTTCAAAATTTGCAGAGTTTGACGGTGAGGGATCGTGTCAGGGACTGCCTTGAGAAGGAACCCACGGAGCGTACGGAAGATGACATTGAGGCACTGTTGGAGTTCACTCAGCATTTAAAGGCTTTTACCAACATGACTCTAGCCGTAAGAAGAGCTCTATGTTCTGTGATGGTCTTTGCCGTGGTAGAAAAGGCCGGCACCATAGTTATGAATGATGGAGAAGAATTAGACTCCTGGTCGGTCCTGGTCAATGGCTGTGTAGAAGTGGTCATACCCGGCGAAGAAAATCAGACCCTCACGATGGGAGACGCCTTTGGCATACTCCCGACAATGGACAAACTTTACCACAAAGGTATTATGATAACCAAATGTGATGACTGCCAGTTCGTGTGCATAACACAATCGGATTATTACAGGTGCGTTAATAAAATCAGAAACTAAATTCGTAATTTACAAACATCCGTTTTTTCCTCAGGATATTACACCAAGGTGAAGAAAATACTCGGAGGCACGAGGTTGAAGGCAAACTGGTGATGGTGACAGAACTCAGGGGTTCCATGGAGCCTAGCAGCAACCGGAGGGGTCACGTGGTGATCCGCGCAACTCCCGAACGACTCATGCTTCAGCTTATTGAAGAAAACTCCCTCACAGACCCCACATACGTGGAAGACTTTTTATTGACGCATCGCGTGTTCATTCACAGTCCACTGCATGTGGCCAACCAGCTTCTAGATTGGTTTAAAGACCCCGAAGTTCGTGATAGAGTGACGAGGGTGGTCCTCCTGTGGGTTAACAACCACTTCACGGACTTCGAAACGGACCCAGACATGATAGAGTTCCTGGAGACATTCGAACAGGGTCTTGAGAAGGAGAACATGGGCGGTCAGTTAAGACTCTTGAACATAGCCTGTGCCGCCAAAGCTCGGATACGAAACGTAGTGTTAGCTAGACCGAACCGAGAGGAGCCTCTGAATTTCCAAATTCTTGGCGGTTTCGAGAGAAACTTTGGTATATTCATCTCTAAAGTGGACAAAAAGTCCAAAGCGGAAGACGTGGGATTGAAGAGGGGCGATCAGATCCTGGAAGTGAACGGACAAAGCTTCGAGCACGTGTCCCACGCTCGAGCTTTGGAGATCCTGCGGGGCACCACCCATCTCAGCATAACGGTTAAATCTAACCTATTGCACTTCAAGGAGATGCTGAATACCCCCGACAACTCCCCGAGACCGAGAAGTAGGAAAGTGTCGGAAATCTCGAAGCTCCAACCGGACCCTAGGGCCAGGCTGTCTAGCGTCGATGGAAATATAATCCTCGGTCATGACACTCCCGCTTCTCAACCTGTCACCATAAACAGTCCCGCGAAAGAGAGGAAGAAACAAAGCTTTATGACCCTCGGAACGAAAGGAAGGCTACACAAGGCCTTGATGGTTTTAAATATCTTGCCTAAGAATATCATTAAGTAAGTAACAAGAGTAATTTTGAGCCACCCAATATCTAAAGTAATAAAAAGTTTTTCCAGTGTCGGAATTAGTCACGACCAAGTCGACAGCTTTAACCCACCCTCCAATTTAGGTACAAATCTTTATCAGTCTCAAAGCAATCCGGATCTGATGTCGATTTGCTACGATGACCTGAGATGCACGGATTATCCCGAGCACGTATTAAAGGTAACTCGATTTTGAATTTCTGTTCGGTACGACTAAACGTTTATTTTATTACAGGTTTACAAACCCGACCAGAGCTACAAATACCTACTGGTGCACAAAGAAACTACCGCCCACGAGGTCGTCATGCTGGCCCTGCAAGAGTTCGGCATGACCGACCCCAGCAGCAACTTCAGCCTCTGCGAGGTCTCCGTAACGGACACGCAAACCATAAAGCAGAGACGGCTGCCCGACCAGCTGCAGAACTTAGCCGAGAGGATAGGCCTGAGCAGCCGGTACTACCTAAAGACGAACGGAGTTACGGAGACGCTGGTACCCGACGAACTAGCTCCCGAGTTGGTGAGGGAGAGCGCAGTGCATTTCTTGCAACTAAACGCCGTCGAAGTTGCCATTCAACTGACGCTTCAGGACTTCAGTATTTTCAGGCAGATCGAGCCAACGGAGTACATCGATGATCTCTTTGAAATTAAATCGAAGTACGGAACGCCTATGCTGGAACAGTTCGCCTCCCTCGTCAATAAGGAAATGTTCTGGGTCGTTAGCGAAGTCTGCTCGGAGCACAATCCGGTGCGGAGGATGAAAATCATCAAGCAGTTCATCAAAGTTGCCAGTGAGTATTTTATAACTGATCTTTATATTGTCTGACCAACGAGTGTGGTGGTTACAAAAGCTTCTTGGTGGGTGTGTTCAGACGGATCATGTCATCTTTTTATTTTTAGGGCAATGCAAGGAGTGTAAAAACTTTAACTCGATGTTTGCAATTATAAGCGGTTTGGGACACGGTGCGGTGTCCCGATTGAGGCAAAGTTGGGACAAGTTGCCAGGCAAATATCAAAGAGTGTTCTCAGAGCTGCAGCAGCTTATGGATCCGTCCAGAAATATGAGCAAGTACCGTCAATTAATAAGTGCTGAACAAACACAACCCCCAATTGTAAGTATTAATGGATTAATGCGATGGTTTAATTATTCAATATACATTTATGAAACATTCAAACACGTTCTGACATCACTCTGTTTTTATAGTCATATCTGGTACTTATTCATACTGTAAGTTTAGATGTCGTTCTTTTGTACTCTTTTTTCGATACTCTTGCTGTTTACATTATTTATTCCTCTGCATATTTGTTACCTTTCGTTTTTTCTCTCTCGTACACCAATCCTACTTACACGTACAATTCTAGTTGTTGTATTTTTAGTGTATATGCGTATCTTCCACCTAAACGGTGTAAAGTCTGTAATTCTCTGTTTTAGATACCTTTTTATCCGGTGGTGAAGAAAGACTTAACGTTCATTCACCTCGGCAACGATTCGCAAGTCGAAGGCCTAGTTAATTTCGAGAAACTACGTATGATCGCCAAGGAAGTCAGATCTCTCAGCAACATGTGCAGCAGCCCCTACGATCTACTCACCATGCTCGAATTGGGCGGTCAGCCTCCCAGCAATGCCATGGTTGCGCTCAACCAGCTTACCACGGCTTCATCTCAGTACCATGCGCAAGGTGAGTCGAAAAAACTTTTATTTGTGGCTCTTGACATTTCAACGTATAATTTTTGCATCTTAGGACAAGCGACTGTGAAGAGGCGAAAAAAGTCCACGGCCGCCCCAAACCCTAAGAAGATGTTCGAGGAGTCGCAGATGGTTAGGCGTGTTAAGGCCTACTTAAACAACCTTCAGGTGGAAACGGACGAGGCCAAACTACACGAGATGTCGCTGGAATGCGAGGGCGCAGCTACGGGGGGCGCCTCGGGTCCGGGAACTCAGAGATCCAAGAGGCACGCCTCACCGGCACCCTCTACTACCAGCAGTACGAGTAGTGCGAGCGACGAACGGAAACCCACCGCTAAGTTTGGTAAGTGCAGTAATGAGTAATATGCCCTAAGATGTGGATATCTCTAAATAATGGACAATTTTGTTTTCACGGGACTTTGCATTGGAGTGTTCTTAATATTACCATCCCTTGATATTTTTCACCAAGATCATATCGTAGATATAGATTTTTGCAGCATATGACATACTTGAAATCTTGTGACTAATCGTTGAATATCAGGTTCTTCTTCCACGGCATTTAAAATTTCTGGTTCTAAGTTTCTCACTCTGTTGTGTTTGTTCCTGTTCAATATTAGCGTATTGGCATTCAAAACTTCCATTTTCTTATTCAGCACTTGTCGGTAGGGATAATCCATCTGATATCTTGCAACAGCATCGTTTTCTCCTGACAAACAGTATGCTCTAACCATATCAACTCTTGATTCTAATACATGCTTTTCTGAATATCGCACAGAAACTTGAAAATGAAAACACAAAAGTACATTGTACCGTCACTGAACATTGAAATAAATAACTTTATACTTACATTACACAGACACTTCACAAACAACGTCTCGTAACCAAACTGAAAACTAAAATAAATATGTAACAAAATGAAGCCGCGATGACGTAATCGGCCATTTCCGTATCACGAAATTAACATGGCAGTTTGTTTTGTTCCAGTCAATTGGCAATAGCCCAACCTCAGTTCTGATACTAGACAAAAATATTACCCTCCACTTAAAAAGAAGCCGTTAAAAGCAGCTCAGTGTCTTTCCTTATTTTTTGTCCCCACCTCTAAATGACTGACATCTGTATATACCGAACATTTTGGAATTCCCCATGGCTGTCCGTTATTAAGAGTTATAGTGTTATAAGAGATATTTTAAGTATGTGTCACGATATGAACCTACGTATTGAAGTTTTGATCCGTAATTTTTGTCATAACGTACAATTTTTAGGTTCGGCCTCGCCTCAAGCAGTAAGAAAATTGTTGGCGTTGTCGGAGCCCGGCAAAACTCGGCCTCACCAACCTAGAGCGCCCCCTGGTCATTCGATAAATGCCAATCAGGCTAGTCCGGCTGTCAGAAGAGCCCCAAGTGCTACAGGTAAATAAAAAGTAACGCTAATAAATCATAGTCGACCTAAAACACTTTTAATTTGTTTGCAGTAACTTATTTTTTTTTATTTCCGTTATGGTGGAGTTTATTTTTAATTCAAACATCTTAATCTGGGTATATTTTTCATTACACACATCACTAAAAATCGTACGATATTGCAATAATAGTGGACACACGTCACAAATCTGCCTACAATTCGAGAATAGCAAATGTTGAAGTTAAAAAATTTCGATTGCAGGTAGTTATTCCAGTTACGGTTCTCATAGTTCGAGTAGTTCAGGTGCGGGAGGTAGGGCGATGCACGAGAGGTCGCATTCCGACACCCCCACCCCTTTGCCCTCGGTGGCTTTGTCGGCCGAAAGCAGTAGCGTGACGTCGCTTAGTAATTTGCCATTGAGAAAAACGCTTACTTCGGGTGAGTACATTTTTTTTTTAGTTAAGTAGGTCATTACCTATTCTCTATAGAATTAAACGATAACGGGGCAAGATGGGCTCATTTAGCATAATTTTCTAATTCAGAAAGTGTACCTTATAGTTTTTTGACAATTTTACCCTCTAAATAATTAACGATAATGGAGCACGGCAAAACGCACGGAAACCATATCGTGACGTCATACGAAGCCTTCATAAATGATTACAAGCCTCACGATCAGTAATTTTGATTGGAGCTTAAATGCAACCGATTGCTATTGTTCTTTGTAAACGAGTCATTAATATTGATAACGCTAACATTTAGGGATTTTATAGTACCAATCGTGCAATGTTGGTTCTCTAAGTTCGGTGGTTAGGTGGCTTTTAATAATTTATGAAAACTCGGTACCACTTGATTGGCTAACCCACATACTTGATTGGATCATATGACAAGTAGACAAAAACAAACAAATTTAAATGATAACGAAACCAAAAGGAGATGGATTTTTCGAACTGTTAACTATGATAATTGAAGTACGTGATAAAGTGATGCATATTTTTTATTCGTTTGCATTTTTTCAGTGTAATATTAAAGTTATCGTCTGTATTTTTTCACCATATGTTTAGTGCTCCAAGAAAAACAAATTACAAATATTTCTGAATGAGCCCATTAAATTTAGAATTGTAGTGTGCTTATTTTTCGGGTCGTAGATTTTCAAAATGTCATTTATTTCCTTGTTTTTGTTTTAGTTTGTTGGTAAAATAATTGTGTTGTGTCTTAAACGTAGTCTTATTTTGTATTTTACCATTAAAAATAAATTGCATTTGCTTAATGTAAAGAATATGTAAAGTAACGATAATAACCGGAGCTTAGGGAATGTACTGATTAAAATATATTATTTGTTTAACTTATTTATAAAATTAAAAATAAGTTTCTATTTCTTAAACCGTAATAATGTATCGATACATTTTTAACGTTCTATGTTGAAGGTATTTAAAAATTCGTAACGGTTGTAAATTTGTAAATAAACCGAGGCATGTCGACAAGTCCCCCACTCTGACCGATTAGACTCGTCTTACTAGCGACACGATTTAGCACAGCACAGTAATCGAGCACCACCCCACCCCCACCCCTTTCGTAATTTCGGCACGTCTTTCCACTATTATTCGAGCATCTTGTGTCTGTCGAGCACGATTTGAAAGGTGGCATGTTTACGCAGGTTCTGTAACTTCCTCAGACTCGGGTCATAGCACCATCAGTCAGGTGACGAACAGTTCCACCGACTGCCACCCTTACCAGCAGAGGTGTCCGAGCCCCCCGAGACACCCACCGCCTCTGCCAGGTATGTAGCTTGTTCTCCTCTTAACCTTTTGCTCTTTAGTGTTCTGGCGTATGTATGCGACTGTCTGCCTGCCGTAGGACTTGGTCTTGTTTGTTGCGTGTTACATTTGTGCGGGGTATACGTATGTGTATGTACAGGGTGTTTTGGGGGATACGAATAATTCATTTATAAAACGTCTAGTTGTTTCTGAATAAGTGAATGTTACCGATTTTTATTTGTTTATACCTGCATCTTAGAATTAAAACTATAAAGGATTCCTTTCTATTTTAAATTTTATCAGAAATGAATGATTTCAATTGAATGGGGTGCTTGAATAGAAAAACATGTAGTGATTTGTCACTGAATGCTATTCTACAATGAAAATAAAACAATACCGAGCAATTCTTATATCACAATTTCATTTTCTGTTAATATATGAGAAAATTGGGAGATCCTATTATAAAATTCCTTTATTTATCATTTTCATAAATTAGTTGATTCATCAGAAAACAACTTGGTGTTTTATAAAGCAACCTTGAATGCAGTTTAATCAATTTTTGGGTTTGCAATAAAATTGCGAGCATTTCTAAATAAAAAAAGAAATATAATTTTATCAGTGCATTCATAAGTTGTATGTAAATCATGGGATCCATGGGATCAGATTCGGTGTTTGGAAAGTCCTAAGGCAACGATTTCCCGAGAGATGAAGCATTGAATATTTTATTAGAATTATTTTCTTACTTCCTTTGCACTCACAAAAATCACTGCTTTAGGATTATTTCAACAACATTGACAGGTAATTACATACCACTGACTATTTAGAATTTTTTCACAGCAGAATTTTTTAAATGATCAATACTTGGGACCGATAAACGATTAGTTGTTCTTTAGAGGATGGTTTTTAGCCCCTCACAGAAATTTTTTTCATGAAAAAAATTTCAGACAAAATTTATATAGTAGTGACACATGGGCGTAGCTACAATTTTTGCTTGGAATGGGACCAGGATTGCAAGATTTATGGATGCCTCAAAAAAAAAAAAAAAAGCCGCACAGTCACAGATCTACCGATATGACAAAGATGATAATAATTAGATTTTTTTCTGGGATGGGCCATGCACACCTCTACCTCCCTAGCTACGCCCATGGGGTGAGTCCCTAAGGTATCGAATAGAATTGTGTGGTTGGTGGATTTATTTCTCAAATTTTGTTAGAAGTTTTTTAATCACTAATGTTCTTTATCTGAGCCTAGAAATCATCTTCTAAGAAACGTAGAAGTCCTGGCTTCACCACCCAAGTATAACTACTTTAATTTTCACAGAAAGAGACCGACTACATTCTACAAAATCGAATTAATGGATTTTACCTTTCCTGTTCCTTTTTTGTTAATTACAATATGCAAAATAAAAAACTATTTTTATTATTGTCTAATTTGAGTAAAAAAAATTGTTGAATACATATAGCGAAAAAATTCTAATACAGTCGTGCTGCAATTTTACACCACATTGACATCCTTATCAACTCGGGGTATAATGTGAGAGAGCGTGGGTGGTCATGCTGAATTTTATGTTGTGTTTGTCCATCACGGTGTTACATTAGTTTGTCTGTCGTTGGTGATAGGCTGGTATCCTATACGTACTGGTGCTATGCCTCCTTGCCCACAAGCTGTCGCCGTTTTACCTCCCTTACCTCATGCTTTGCGTAATACCAACGGTAAGTTTTGCAGATTTTAGTTTAGCCACTGTATGTTGCTTTGTAATAGAAAAATGTACTTAAGAATGTGCCTCATCCACTTGATTTTTGCATAAAAGTAGATGTAAAATAGATTTTTTGACTTAGATACATATAACTTTTTTTTTCAATAGAAATTGCAGTAACAGGAATTTTTCGTAGCACTACATTTTTATAACTGAAAATTAAAACATTTGTTCATTTTAGATAGCATGATCCATTGTATATACAAGTTCGGAAGGTCCCCATGGTACATCGGCCGTTACTTGAGAGCGATAAAGTAAGTCATAGAAATCCATGCGATAGAGAAAGATGGGTATAATGAAGGCGTCACATAGTCACCGCCTGTTTTGCCCTTCCACAGATAAGATCCACTTCCACTTGTAATTCAGCGACCGGTGGTCATCTTTGTTTTTGTCGTTTGCCTTTTCTTTAATAGATGTCACTACTTATACAATTCCGACTTCGGTATTCCAATATGTTAATACAATCCACTAACAGAGGGCAGCACAATGCGTAACAAAGAAAATTTTTTACAGTAGCTAGTAGATACCTCTGTTTGTAAATCTAGTGACCTTGTTTCCCCTACTCAGAAGTTATTCAAATGGAGTATAGTGCTCATCTGCATTTAAAGTTCATTTAGTTGTTATTTAAGTATACTTTTTAAAATGACTTAAAAATCCCAAGAAATAAAGCAAAATTCCCTATTTCCCCAATTCCAAAAAAATCTCACCTTAGAGAAATTGTGCTGCCTTCTGTTAACGGATTGTATTAACATATAGGAATACGGGAGTTGGAATTGTATAAGTAGTGACATCTATTAAAGAAAAGCCAAACGACGAAAACAAAGAGGACCAGCGGTCGCTGAATTACAAGTGGAAGTGGATCTTATTTGTGGAAGGGCGAAACGGGTGGTGTCTATGAGACCATCCTTCTCTATCGCACGGATTTCCATGACTTACTTTATCGCTCTCACGTAACGGCCGATGTACCATGGGGACTTTACGAACCTGTATACTATAGGATATATTTTTCTAAACTGTATGTGTGGCTATATAGTTTATTGTTCTCATATGCTTTGCTTTGGTTTACCATCATTGCTTTAGGCTTTGTACATTGTTTGCTTGCAAGTTTATAAATTATGTCATCGGCTGTTGTAAATACTAGACAAAGTACATTAAGTGTTTTGCGCAATCAAATATTTAAAAAAAGTCTCATAACTTTACTATATTGGTTGTAACTTTGAATGGGGCTTTAGAAACACAAGTGTTTTCAAATTTCGTCATGAACACATAATTTTTTTTTTAATTTAGAGGAAAGGTTATTTAAAAGCACAATTCTATACTACCCGCCGTATAGTAGCCCTATTATCCCACAAACGAAAATTTAATTCCTTTAAATAAGATAAACTATACAACAGAACCTAACAAATAATATACTCAAACAATAATAAATAAATAACGACAAATGAAATACACAAAAATAAGTAAATAATCTGTTTATTCACCTGATTTTTACAGCATATGACATACTTGAAATCTTCCACGGCAATTAACATTTCCAGTTCTAATCTCAGCGGCCGAGTTAACAAGAAGTAAAGTGCAGTTTAATTATAACTTGACTATTTATTTGATTTAAAAAAATCATATCAGATCTTTATTCAGGGAAACGTATACTATTACCCTTAGAAAACTGACGCCCCACTCAAAAGTTACTCCCTGTATTATATTGTACAATTTAAGTGTGAAGTGCTAATCAGAATATAGTATGTAAAACATTCATCTTGTATTAAAAAGTATTGCTCGTTTAAATAATTATATGGAATTATTTTTTTTGAAACGAGTGTTATCTGTGTTTAGGCCCAGGTAGAAGGCAGCCACCCGCCTATAGCGTGGCAGCTCAGATGGCCCGGTTGCACCGATTAGGCAGGGCGCACTCCCACGAAGGTGTTACGCAAGGTTACCACTATCACACAGATCCTGACACAGATCAGGGTGAGTACGACTGATCCATTTTTACAACAACCTCGATATTGACTTTCGTGACTCCAAACGAGCGACTTTTTGACGTAGATTCTCTTTAACTACGAAGTAAAACATAGGAATGGAATTCTTTTCATATTTAAAGGATAAATCGACCGTCAATTTTATGTTTCTCTGTTCAGGTGACGACTTGACTGATTCCACCTGCGAATCAGACACAGTTATAATAATGGTCTGACGAAACCATGGACGATCCCACACCCACTGACTTGAAACTAGACGACAATTGACGAGTACAAAAGCTAAGCTTAATAATTTACCGATATGTGATCGTATTTATTTTTGCACAGATGATGAGGAGACCCAAGTCTCAGCAGTGTGAATATGTTTGCACCGCCCAGTGATCTATAATAATATTTAAAGAGAAAAAAATATTTATTTCGGTGTCTGCATATCATCTCAAATCTAATACTCATAGATCTGTGTGTTACGATTACCTATATGTACACGGTTTGTGCAAAAATTAGGGGTACTGAGGCGAGGGCAGTACCGTCGTTCTTAAAAACGTACTTCAGTGGACCTGGTAGCCACGGTAGTACCGTCGCCTCCGTGACAAGTACCTGATTATTATTATTTGTGATACAAGATCTTCTGTTACAAACTTTAGTTAGATTTATTTTATTTATAATAGGGAAAATATGAAATACACGCTGTATATAAGATTATGATTTTTTTTTTACTTTTTACCTCTTAGTTTAGCTGAAGAATGTATTTTATTCATATACTGCCTCATAAAGATATAAACGAATTGACGAAGAGTTCAGAACAGTAACTCTAAAAAATTATTTATTTTCCTTTCCAATTAAGGCTACACTTATTTATATCTAAGAAATGTGTTAGGACTGTGATTTAATTTTGAAGGATTTTTGTAAATTCAAGGCTTTATTGTAAAAAGTCGTGTACATTATTATTTTCCAAAGTATTGTCAACTACTTTTTCCCATCTTTCTGTCAGCTGAGAAAAAATAAAAAGTAAAGCCTAAATATTGTTACAGAAGTTTCCGATGCGATATAGCATAAATTAATTCACAGTTCCAGTAGATGTTATATCAAGGAAATAAACAAAATGTACATCTTTCGTTCTGGAATCATTTTTATGGTGAATTTAAATAAATATATTTTTATATTCTGTAGGGAGCGCAGTATATGGTTATATTTTTATTTATTGCCATTGCAGATCATTCCAACTATTTGTAAATATATCGTGTAACTTGCTCTAATCTTTTCGATGTTGTCTTTTTAAATTTTAACGTAATTTGCCAAATCTTGTTGGAATTTATGAAGAATTATTGTGAAAACTTTTTAATATACTTTAAAATTTGCCACTCTTAATTCTTATCGTTGCCGAGTAATCCGACATCAAACTAGACTGAATTTAATAATGCTTCTACCATAAAGGTTTTCATGTGTGACTTCCTCGAAAAACAATAAATTCTGACACTAACGATTTTTATATATTTTGAAAATCGCTTAATATATTAGTTGCAATCTTTCGTAGGTTTTGTGATTGAACTAGTCGCTCAATTTTATAGATAATATTTATTTATGGCATTTCCGTGCGGTTTATTTTTTCAATGCACTAAAAGTTTGTAAAATAACCCAGAAATGCAATAAATAACGATTTTCTTTAAATATATTTTGATATTAATATTATTACTACTAAGTGTATTTCAAGTTAGATGTATATCTGTATATTAGTGTACAAATTTTCAGATTTATTTCACTTCATTAAATGCCTATAGAAAAGTCCTGTCCTTTTATTATAGATGTAACAATTTTAAATAAATTATGAGAAATTGAACAACTCGTTTTATCTCCACCTCTTCCAGTTCCTACCTTACTGAGTAATGTTTAAAAGTTTACAAATCAACCAACAGATGGCGCTAGCTCTGAGTGAAAAAATGAACTGATGGATCAAGTCACCTTAATGCAATTTTGTTTTCTTAAAAAGAACCTTTGAAGAATTTTTTTGTTTCAATTTTTTGAAGCAAATTAGATATCGAAAAATTTTAATTAAAAAAAACTAAATTCAAACGAATAAGCTCGATAGTAAAAATGTTAAATGATAAGCTTAAAAATGGCATATGGTGACTCGGAAATAATCTAAAAAAATGTAAGTATGTATGTATACAGGGTGTTGTGAAAATTGCGTCCACCTTTTTTGTTGTAAATATCATATATAATTTACAAGCTATTAATATCACTGGTTCGTTAAAAAAAAAGTGGAGCCTATATTTCGGTAAAGCTACTTTCTATTTCCTTTGTGATATACGTGTAGATCCTACACCTTTTATTCTTGCATTGCTTTTGGTATCTTGAATAACAAACAAAGAAAAAGGAGGGGGATGGGGGTCAATTTTAGCGAGACCACTCTGTACAATTAGTCTAAATAAACATGAATTTGTCAAAATTAGACAAGTGTATCTTTTTTGGTCCTTAACAGTCTAGAGATTATTTATCAAAATTTTTAGTTGGGGTTGACATGGTGATAGTTACCCCCCAAAAGTACCCTCTGTCTATACGATATGTAGGATTTGAAAATAACATATCAACTAGTGTCTTGAAGTTTAAAATATTGCAAAAAATTATGCAGGAAACTAAAGCAATTTATTTTCGAAGGAAGCTGTCTCTGAATTATGGTCCCATTCCTTTCCCGACATTCTGTATAAAATTACGCTTAAGTACTTTCAAAATGCAAACATGTAACTTGTAATTAATTTAAAAATACTAAATTTAAGAGAATCTAAAATCTTCAGTAACTTAAAAATTCAATCATTTCAAGGATTCAAGGGGACAATAAATATTTAGACTTTACTTTTTAAACATTACAGAAATACAGAAAACTTACCCAATATGGCAGTTACAGTGGCGTACGCTGCATTGACCCTTGGGGGGGGATATAATAAAAAATATATTAATGAATAAGGTTATTTTATATTAATTTCAAACATTATAAAATAAAATCTATGCGTCTTGGCTATCACCTGCATATAAACCTGAGTTCATGGGGGGGGATATATCCCCCTTATCCCCCCCCCCCGACCGTACGCCACTGGGCAGTTAAGCTAGATTTGTGTTTGTATATTTATTTTACCCATTTGTGTGGCAGGACTAATCCATTTATTTTAGTTCCTCCCTTGAAACTATTAAAGAATACTCAAGGTCAACCTTTGTGTATAAAGAAAACGGTATCTCTTGGGAGATTTTTTGGGGACAAGAGTTGCTATTTGTAGGATGTACATGTGCCTATTGTCATCATAACTGAAAATACATATTTAAAAAAGTACATAAATATTTTACGACGATCTTCACTCTTGGTCCATTTAAAACGTGTACATTGTCAATGAAGAAGAATCAGTAGGTACCAAATATAAATCTATTAAAAATAAATCCGAACACGTGCACGTGTACAGCTACACGTGAATGTACTGAAATGTGGAATTGTGAAAGGAAAGGCGCGGATAATTATAGCCCACGGTTTATGATTATGCTTTGACGCCTCAACGAAATTTATTTTTGTTTCTCTGTAAAATGCGTTGGTGTGTAGCGTAGGAAAGCCCGACTTTCATTTTCACGATTCTGTTTAAATATTTTTAGCATTGTTCAGACGATGTTACGAAATGTTTACGAATTTTTCCCGGTATTCATCAGTAGTGGCCAGATATAGAAGCGCAGGTGCGGTCACTATGCACATTTATTTGTCCCTGAATGGCATATGAAAAGATTTTGTTTATCAATGAAATTGCCTGAGAATGCACTTCAATTCAGTTTAATTTTTTTTCCGCAGTAGGAAACGCTATTAGCTTTGTTCCTAGAGCAATCGAAAACGGTGAATTTTTAACCTAATTAAGCATTATATCGGAATGCGCATGCGTCTAACTTTTGGAAAATGGTTTGGATTACTCTAGGAACAAAGCTATTGTGATAAATTTAACAATTGTATCGATATTAACCTCATTTAAAAGACAATCGCAGCTAGTCACATTTTTTTTATCTCTACGAGAAGGTAACAAGATTCAGAAAGTTATGTTCCGCAAGAATCCGGAACATTTTATTTTTATTGAAAAAAAATCGGATAACGTCATCACGCACAACAGTTGATCGAGCAAGAGAAGATAGAAAATTATCATTTCGGTAATAATAATAATTAATGTTTTAAATACATCCTCCCACAAGGTATCTATATTATAGTCTAAAATGTAAGATACTGAATGATTTGGCAGCAATGGGAGTGACACCGATATAGAATAGGTAGGTACATTGTACTCTGCGTTAAGTCAAGTATCTAATTTTATTTTCATTGCACAGATACGAGTAAATGAATAAAAATAAAATGAAATAAGAAGACACAATCATAAAGATCAGATTCTATGAGGTTAAAGTTAACTTACATCATAAAAGCGGTTGTTAATGAACACATTTTTTAATAGTTATCAATATTCTGAACTTGAACACTGTACAACACTAACTATTTAAGGCATTGTGAAGTTAAACCGGGCCCCATATTCTTTAAATAGTGTTTTCCGCAAAGACAAATAATTTCAAACATTTAATAACTGAATAATCTAAAGCTTATCAAATAATAGGAATGTTATGTCATGCCATCTGGTTATTTTCAAAGACGCCGCAGTAAAACGAATAAACAGGAAAAAAAAACGATCAAACCATCAAGGTTTTAGGTACTGAAATCTTCGAAAATACTAACTTTTTTATATATAATTCCACATGTAAATATTCTTATAACATTTACTTGCTTAGTCCTACATATAAAATTGTTTACTTTTATTTATAAGTACGTGAAAATAATTCTTAAAATGTGGGGTTAGAATAACAGCAAACGTATGTTTTACAAACGCTTTTTTTTAGTTATTATTTTATTTGAGTAAATTTAAATGGTAACAATGAATAAACAAAACATCAAGGATTTTATTTTTGTGCTTACTTTTGTTCTACACGTTTTACTTTCAAAGATTTCAGTATCTAAAAACGTCAGAAATTTTACTATTTCTCGGCCGGGAATATGGCCACCTTAAATTTCTGTATTGCACAAAAACCTCTAGAAGCCGCAAACTGCACAGTGCACATTTAGAAGAAATTCTTGTAAAACTACTCGTTCCTTTTTTTCTGTAAGCCAGAATAATATATTAAAAATATATGATGAGTTGATGAGATTTACAGTATGTGGATTTGTTTTTTACTTTATTTATTGCAAACACAAAATAATAGTATTATGTGCAGGCAAATTAAAGAATCGTCACAAATTATAATATATCATGAAAAATGCCATTACCTAACTATCATCCTTTTGCTATCAACTTTTCCTGTAGACTTTAAGGAAAAGTAATGACTACAACATTGATTTATTTCAATCCTGCAACAGCAATTACATGACATGTCATATTTACGTAACAGCATTCACATTAAGTATGTGTGTTGTGTGAATAATTACCGAAAAAGGACACACTTTATATTTAGCCCATACTCGACACTTTTAAAAAATGCCAGAGGCGGCAGCCTACCCGCCACCATTGGTCTATCTGCTATTAATAAAACGATAATGCACATAAATGCACGTTTGGCACTCTCCTGCGGGGCGACATATGCAGGGTCGGCTCAAGTCATCCGTTAAAGATGTCATTTCTGATAGCGTCGAGTTTTTTATTTGAACAACTTACTTTTACTTACTTTTACCAAAGCAGCTGAAGAAGCACAAAAGTTTTTGTTGGATATGGTAAATGCGGTAAAAGGGCCACGTTTTTTTACAATCCTCTAACCCCTTTAATTCCTATACATACCTATGTACGTTCACCACGAGAAACAGCACTGTATTTTGTTTTGAAGAGCACATGTTTACAAAATCGATCAAGTCGACGGGTGCATTCCAGAAATTGAGATTAACAAAAGCGTAAAACGATTTTTCTGCTCAGAACTTGAGTTTGACACTTCGGTGCATAAATAAGGCGGCGAAGTAGCTTGAGCTGCGGGGTTTCCATCATATACTGTCGTTTCGTTCGTTAATCTGACGCATATGATTTCCTATAACGGATCGGTAATCACTACATCTAAAAAAATTTAAAAATCGTTCGACCTGTGTCTACCAAGTTAATAAGTTTTACGAGCAGTGAAAAATATCGCATCTACGAGACGATTTAGTTGGCCTGTAGTTCCAATTAGTAAACAATTCTATTGAAAGTCAAGACCCTTACAGCTGTGTCATACTGGGCATTTCTATCACGTAACCTTGAATTTTAATAGGCTCGATCATCGTAATAGATTGCTCTGTCCTAAAATTACATCAACCCTGTAGAGAACTTTTTGTTTGTTTAATAACTCTTTACGACACAAGAGCTCAAGTTGTTAAAAAACATTGGCATGGAAATATATCAATCTAATAATATAAATTAAAAGTAATATTTATTAACGTCAATACAAATGGCATAGCAGCTATATGTAAAAATATTCGAATTAAATAAGAGACTACTAATATATTAAATGTCGAAAGTATCACGGGTGTTATAGAATAATAATGTCAGTTTGCGAAATGAACTCATCTAAAATTGTTAAATATCAAGACGTATCCCACCTCGTAACCCTTGATTGTTGTTCTGTCATTTGCTGTATTAAATTATTACATCTATCGACAAGTAGAAATATGCTTTTTTTTAAATTCAGCTTTAATCCCCACCACTACTACTACTACTACTATTACTACTAGATTATTATTAGTATTTTATTAGCCAAATGAACATAAAAGTTAAATAAATCTTAATACCTACATATTTATATTTCTTTTACCAAATATCATTTTAAATTCATTTGTTACCCCTAGAAATAAATTTGCGCTACTTAGTAACCTTCTTATTCTTCCGTTTCATGTTCGGTGTCCTACTATGGTAAATAATTACCCGGATTTCTTCTCTGAAGACGGCCACTTTGAACCGGCCCTGGACGTGCACCTTGCCACCGTCCGAGATTCCTCCCGTGACATCACCGGCCTGCCTTATATGGTCGACGCGGACGACATGCGTCGCGGCGACCCTCTAGCCATAAATGGGCGCTGACGCGTTATTTTTAAGTAATCGCGGCGTTCCCTATAAAAACGACGCCGTCCGTTGGCACGCCACTCGCTTCCCAGCTAGCCCAGTGCCGAGTCACTCTATCTTTCAGTCTTTGAGGTTGGTATCAGCGTGAGGGTGAGGTGTTGTGTATGTGCCGTGGCAACCGTGCACGTTGCGTACAGCCGTTTTGTCTGTTAGTGGTCGAATTGACTAGAATTGTGTTAGGTAATGCTTTAAACAAATTATTTTTGTAGTATAATTCATAAAGTACAAAAGAAAAATATTGGTCGAAAATTTTTTATCAGTTTTTAACATAATTAGCCTCGCAACTTACAATAGAAATAAATTAAATTAAAATGCCTATTATCACCAGGAGTATTGTTTCAAAATTTAACTTACTTTAAATTCATATTTTGTTAATTTGTCCCTAATTAGTATTTTATTTCTCTAAAATTCTATCTTACCTGTAAGTAAAAACATTTTTATAACATATCGAAGTGACAAAATAAATTAAATTAAAAGAAATTAATTTAATCCGGAATTAAAAGAGATATATTGTTTTCAGTTTAAAATTTTTGTATCATTTTCAAAAATAGAATAGGGATTGAATTTACAAATTCATTTTCAAATTAATCATAACAATTTAGTCAGTATGAGTTTAATTTATTTATGGTTTAAATAAACAATAAATTAATTTATGAATTATGACAATTATACTTATGTAATGTCCTACTTGTCTGATATTTTGCAATAATCGTCCAAAGTTGAGACATTTAGTGCGTTATGATTGTTAAGTAAATATCATGTAACTACTTAAAAAAATCGATCTATAGGACATTAAATGTTGAAGTTACCACGGGCGTCATAGGATAATAACGCCCTAAATATTTAAATTACTATAATGTGATTTTCTTCACAGCAGCGGTAACCAGCCAAACCAACCACAATGTGTGACGACGATGTAGCTGCTCTTGTAGTAGACAACGGCTCCGGCATGTGTAAGGCCGGATTCGCGGGAGACGACGCCCCGCGTGCCGTCTTTCCCTCTATCGTAGGTCGCCCTAGGCACCAGGGCGTCATGGTGGGCATGGGTCAGAAGGACTCCTACGTAGGAGACGAGGCACAGAGCAAGAGAGGTATCCTCACATTGAAATACCCCATCGAGCACGGCATCATCACCAACTGGGACGATATGGAGAAGATCTGGCACCACACCTTCTACAATGAACTCCGCGTGGCCCCGGAAGAACACCCGATCCTCCTCACCGAAGCTCCCCTCAACCCCAAGGCTAACAGGGAGAAGATGACCCAGATCATGTTCGAGACCTTCAACACACCTGCCATGTACGTGGCCATCCAAGCCGTACTTTCCCTGTACGCCTCCGGTCGTACCACCGGTATCGTATTGGACTCTGGAGACGGCGTATCTCACACGGTACCAATCTATGAAGGTTACGCTCTACCCCACGCCATCCTTCGTCTGGACTTGGCTGGCCGCGACTTGACCGACTATCTCATGAAGATACTCACAGAAAGAGGTTATTCCTTCACCACGACAGCTGAGAGGGAAATCGTCCGCGACATAAAGGAGAAGCTCTGCTATGTGGCTCTCGACTTTGAACAAGAAATGGCGACGGCGGCCAACTCCACCTCTCTGGAGAAGAGCTACGAACTTCCCGATGGACAGGTCATCACCATCGGCAACGAAAGATTCCGCTGCCCCGAGGCCCTCTTCCAGCCTTCCTTCTTGGGTATGGAATCCTGCGGTATCCACGAGACCGTCTACAACTCCATCATGAAGTGTGACGTTGATATCCGTAAGGATCTGTACGCCAACACTGTGCTCTCTGGTGGTACCACCATGTATCCTGGTAAGTACTGGGTTTTGACTTTCCTAATTATTATTTTCTATTACATTTTACTTACATCGATTCATATATTTAAAACGGAAAGACAATTTTATGAATGAAATTCCTAACGGTTCGTTGGCATGGAAAATATTCGGTTAAAGCAACATAACTGTAAATATTGATTTGGACGGGAGCCAGAGCCTTCCTAAAAATATTGCAAGGTTGGAATGCAGTTCATATTTTGACAGTTTGCCAGGTATTTTTTATCAAGATCAAGGTTAAACATTCCTTGAAGGTTTAGAAGCTTTACGTCAGCTATTTTCGAACGTCGATGTCTTTCGCTTGAGGTGTATATCAGTGTCCATAGTAATACCTGTGTCTGCAATACTTTGTGGTGTAATAACATGATTTCCCTCTTTCAGGTATTGCCGATCGTATGCAAAAGGAAATCACCGCCCTCGCTCCATCGACCATCAAGATCAAGATTATCGCTCCCCCAGAAAGGAAGTACTCCGTATGGATCGGTGGATCCATCCTGGCCTCCCTCTCCACCTTCCAGCAGATGTGGATCTCCAAACAGGAGTATGACGAGTCCGGACCTGGAATCGTCCACCGCAAGTGTTTCTAAGCGTGTAGGAACTGTCCCCATTGACTGTTATAACATTTCGGGCGTTTATTATATAACACCTAAGGCTCTTCGGTCTATTTTAGCAAGGTATCGCATGTTGGTCACCTTTGACATATAAACAATCAAATAACACAGCGCATAGATGGCGCTAGTAACTGAGTTGCAGTTATATAATAAACGTTTACCTTTTTCTTTGCTACTACTTTTGTGGAGCACTGCCATAAGACTTTTATTGCCAATCTTTGTGAATACGTAATGTATATTTATTATTATTATTATTGTATTATAATACCGTCGCACCGGAAATCGTACTTAAAAAAAGTTTATTTTATTTTAAAAGTACTAACTTTACTAAATAGTGGTAATGAGTATTAGTGTTAGAGACTTAATATCGGAACTAAAACAAATTTCATTTATTGAATATAGGATACATTCCTGTCATTGTTTTATGGAACAGTGTACGTCTATTAACACACGTGTCGTAAGACAGGAATAAAGACAAATATAAGATGTATATTTTGTTTCGTGCGATTTCTTCTGCAAAATTTATTCTCTAGTGAAAATACAAATTATTAAATAAAATTTTGTTAGTAGTTCTGTGTATTTTTTCCCACTTTTAAAAGAGAAACTCGAACATTTCTTAGATAGTAGTTCACAATTATTGAGAATAATTAATTAAATTCTGAAACTTAAAAATAAATCTCAAGAATGGCTTTCTGTAAGCGATTTTCTCAAGGGACAATATTTTTTTTTAAATAAAACATTTTCAATGTTGCTGCCAGTTTTAACAAAATACGACCATTGTAAAAGTTTTGACCGCTAAAAGGGAGAGGTAACCGGAGAAAACTATCACCCAGTACATCGATTTGACTAAAGCTTTAAGAAATAATACGCCATAATAGTCCAAATAAATGTGCCAAATTTTAACGCGATCGGTAAAAGCGTTATGAAGTTACTAATTAAATTATTTTTATTATTGGCTACTTTGAAGGCCTGTAACTCAAAAAGCAAAAAGTTTTTATTTATTTATTTTTTTTGTAGATCGTATTTATTTATCGTCGTCAATTTGCAGTCAAACGTTGTCGGTGAAATTTCAAACACCCTGTATTACATAAATTTTAGGGAATTAAACTGCAATAATCCTATTATATGTTGAAAGTATCCACCATTAAACACCTTAATTTTTCTCTTCTTCAACTGATAAACAAGTTCAAATATATCGTCGATCGACATAGCATAGGTATAAAGTTTTTTAAATCTTCAAACGAAGAAATCTAGGGGGTTTAAGTCCGGTAACCTAGGGGCAATGTTTAGTTAAATTGATCTGCGCCATTTTCAGCAGCATTATCATCAGTATAAGATAAACTAAATTTTATATTCAACACAGAATTCGTAAATCAAGTCAAATAAAATGATGCAATATTTGAAAAAAAAGGCAATTTTTGTTAATATTTAATTAGATGTTATAAATTATTGTTACACAACTAAATAGTCTATTATTCTAAATGGACGATATTATTCGCAAGATTTTGCTTTATGACAACAATCTGGGTATGGTTTGGATAGATCCCCTGGTATAGATCCACAAGGTGCTGCGATAAGTCCGCATCTAAAATAATCACAGGTATAAATATTGCATAGAATTAACAACATAATTTCAATTTAAAATCTACAATAATCTTAAGGAAGAAAAATTAAAAGTGTAATTTTGCTGATACATTACATCAATTAAAATAATTTACATATTTTTATTTACTTCTAAATTTCAATGAGCCAAATAATACAATTATTTTATTTAGTTTAATGTACCAGTTGAATTTAATGTTTTGCTTATGTCCTCTGTTTTGGAAAAACTATTAAAAATAAAAACTTACGATGCTAGTGATATTGTCCCATCGTCGCTACAAAATGCCCTCACACAATTCTCAAGTGTTTTTTCGTCTCCATAATTCATCTGGCCAAATTCGTCTGAGTAGCAATGACCTGGATGATCTTAAAATTTAAATAATAATTTAATTACAGACTCTTTTAATGCTTTTAAGTACGATCCTTTATTTAAGAAAGTGGAATAAATTATCTCATTGCTAAAGAAAGCTCCAAAATTGAAGTAAATATTTTTTAGCCTTTAGACAAACAAATTTGTACCAACAAATCGTGTAAATCAACTGTTTAGGTAAATTCAAAATATATTAAAACACAGGGGTGCATCTATAAATATGAAATTGATGATGGTAAACCCCAAAAGCAATACTTTGCTTAGGTAATCAGATTTTATTATATTTTTTCAAAATACATACGTACCCGGATCTGCTAGTTGAATTGCCACAGCTCCATAAACTGCCGATAAAACTGTAAGAAATGCACAAGCAAACAACAAGAACTTCATGACGGATTTGAATGTTATATACCTGCGGCAGCTGATCAACGAATAACAAAAAAGTGGTCGTATCTCGCGCTATAAATAGGTAAGTATAAGCATTCAATTTTTCAAGTAATTTAATCTTACCGAATAACCGATTGTTTCTGTGAAATACCTATGACCTCAGAAAATGAGTTTTATAAACATTCATATTTGTACATTTTGTAGATGAGACAGATCTACATATCCTGAAATGGAAATGTGTCGATACCCAGTCACGGGAAAATCTCTGTGCTTCAGAAAACACAATTAGTTATATAATTTCTATGTGAAATGTTAATAATTAATAGTAAAATCATTACACTAATTCTTTTTTCTTTTTGTATACTGCATCTGTAAGAATTTTGTTCATAAGTCAAATTGTGTGTATTTCCCCATATTTCGAAATTTCGTTGCACAGGGTTCTTTTTCAAATAAATCGAATGTGCAATATCATTATTAAAAAAAAAACAGTATATAGTTTCTCGATGCGCTTACCGTGTAAACAATAAAAATTAATGATATATTGTTTTTCTTAATTTAATACACAGGTAAGTAAATTATATTCTTATTATACTTACAGACGTAAAAGTATATTGTTATTAATTGCTTAATACTTCTGTGGACAATTATTGTATACAAAAACAGTATATTTCTAGAAAACGATAATAGAAAAAATATTGTATACAACAGGTGTGTAAAGAAGCATTTTTTCACTTATGGATCTGACAAAAGGGGGAATGTACACAGCCTCTCTTTTTCTAACCATACCAATTTGATAATTAATAACAAGATTATTTTAAAACGAATTTATTTATGTCCTTACATTACATCATGAAAGTACACGATTGATGTATTTTCTTATTATTTTTTTAAAAGGGTAAAGGTTTGGGACAACAGTGTGGGTAAATCTGGGACAGATCTATCGGTGTTACTCCGCAAGGAGCAACAATGGCTCCACATTGCAATAATCATTACAGTTATGGAAAATGCGGTTAAATATAATAAATGGTCTAGAAGCCAGATAGGGTTCCGTGGCCAATCACAGTGCCACGGCTGTAAACAACTTATTCGTAAGTATTTTGACCTCTTGAATACAAAAAACTTGATCGCAAATCCTAAAAGTGGTCAGTTTAATTGTTATTAACAATTTAAATGTTTAAATAGCTGTAAAAAGTTTATTTGTATAGCTAGTACAATATTTTATACGTTAATAGTTACGTTTTCTCATAACAATCATTTTATATTTTTTTGAAAATTAAAAAAGATTAACTTTAACCAAAGTTATTGCACCAATTTTACCATTTCTCTGGTTCTATTGGACGGATTGAGACGCACGGCTTCTCATTTTAAAGCTTGAACTTTATTTTACAAGATAAATAAGTTCCATTTATTAATTTATTTATTTAACAATTTATGGCAGCTTAGAAAGTTGTGAAATTTCAACGAAAATGCTGTTTTATTTGCTTATAAGGCTTTCTTTAATATTCAACTTCGATGAAAAGCCAAAAAAGTTACCGGATATTGTTCCTCGCATTATAATAATCATTTCATGCCTTAGTGTTTCTTTATCAAAACCCGTGAAAAGACGCGCGTACGTAGCTATAAAAATAAACTTTGTACAGCCATTTAAACATTTAATTTGTTAATAACAATTAAACTGACCACTTTCAGGCTTTGCGACCAAGTTTTTTGGATTTAGGAAGTCAAAATACATATGAGTAAGTTGTTTGCAGCCGTGGCACTCCGATTGGCTATGGAACCCTATCTGGCTCCTAGACTATAAATAGCAACTAAATTTGCTGCCACATTTGGTATAGCCGACTTGAAAAAGGGTTTAAAGAATAAACCTAAAAAAAACTTTTTTCTATAAAGAGATATATCTTCGAAGCTTTTCAATCCTATCCTTTATCCGAGATTATATTTTAAATTACTAGTAGCTGTTTTCCAAGTTAATAGCTTAAGCAGTTTAGCTCGGAAACTTTTTATCGCGAACGTGAATATCGAGGTGAAATTTTAAATTTGTGACAGCTGTTTTTTAAGTTAATAGCTTGTTTTAAAAGTTGGTGATATCCCAAAATATTATTACACTAATGACATAATTAGGAATATTGAGAGTTGACATTTGTTTTCAAGGCTCGTGGTTATTTTGTTACAGCGATATCTTCAAAAGTTTGACCTCTATTCAGAAAAGATTAGATCTGTTTATTGTTATTAAAAATATTGATATTTGAGTGCTCCAACATTTAAATTATATAAACTTTAAATGAAAAAAGGTCAACATGTGGAAGTTAATATTAAAAATTTATTTTAAGACGTTACAACCGCATACAAGATGAATTTTGCTTCCCCAATTCCCCATAATCTAGACATCCCTATAACAAAAATAATTCAAAATGATTTATCTACTTACCTGGATCGGGGCCACAGAATTACAAAATTCATCGAACTGTCTACAAAAATGTGAAAAACGCAAAAACTAAAATCAAAAAGTTGCGTGTATGCTGCATACTTTTGAAATCCGACGTCACCGAAAGCTTAACAACGAAATTCCGCTGTTCGAAACGTAATAGGTTAAAAAATATGAAATCCGCAACCTGACCAAAATAAATGTAATTCTAACAATAATTTAAGAGCTATTAGAGATTTTCTATTTTCATATAATTTACATACATTTCCATAAAGTGTTCAAATTGCGTCAATGAAATCCTAGAATCAGACGTCACTGCATCAAAATATTATCTCTAGGCTCCACTATCGATGCTAGAATAAAATATGCTGTAGTAGCGCCAGGATCTTTAGAGATTTGCAATAAAAGACGCGATATTTAACGAATTAAATACTGCAAAAATTTGATATATTTCTTTACTGCTGCGTTATCGAATTAGCAAAATAATTGTCAATTTTATTTGAGATAAACTAGTAGGGATATCTATTGTGCATGAAATATTTTAAAGAAATCCAAAAATCTCCGCCACACTCATTCAGCCCAATGCTATTTATACATCGACTTCATATCAGGATTGAAATTGTATGAAAACACATTTCACAGAAATTTGAACAGGTTGTAGCGTGCAACTGCATGTAACTTGGGTGGGCGTCCGAACACATTCTACGCTGACTCCGCAGAGGTCCTGTAGCGCGGTCCGCGTCAGTATCGAAAAATTGGCACTTTGAAAAAAACGCCGTCTTGCTATGCTATAAGTACATTCTTTTTCTAAAAATTTTTGGGAAAGCTTGTTGCATTTCGCTAAAATATATTCGAAATACAAATTATTTAATGTACCTACAAGTACATACAGGGTAGGAAAGTACCGATGGTCTATCTGAAGTTACGTGAGAGCGATAAAGTAAGCCAAAGAAATCCATGCGATGGAGAAGGATGGCTATAATGAAGGCGCCTCTTAGTTACCGTCCATTTCGCCCTTCCACAAATAAGATCCACTTCTTATTTGTGGAAGGGCGAAATGGGCGTTGACTATTAGACGCCTTCATTATAGCCATCCTTGTCTATCACATGGATTTCTATGGCTTACTTTATCGCTCTCACGTAACTTCTGATAGACCATCGGTACTTTCCTACACTGTATAACGAAAAGATCAAATTTAATTCTACCAAATTGCCGCATAACAAACATTTGCCATCACCATTCCGTTTTCATATATTTTGAATATTAAATATTAATGAAAATTCAAATATTAAGTACATTTTCATTATATAATATTTTATCGAGGATAGAATAAGAATCAGAAAATCTTTTTCTGCAACTTTATTATAAAAAAACTATACGACAATTTCTAATATAACCCAGTGTACAGTCCCTACGATATTTGTTGAGAAGGTAGAAAGATATTGGCGGCGTGGCGTTCACTGTAGCAGCTTGCAGTGCCTACTGTGTCATTGCCACAGGCATTTTATTTTTACGCAACACTCTGGATAAATCTTGTGAGATAGTTTTTACAACGAGCATCGACCAATCCACACCTGGAAATGTAAATATGTATCTTACCTACTGCTCCTGTATAACACTTATCAAATTTTGAATATAATAAAATTGATTCTAAATATTTACGACAGTACAATACAGCAAGTACAAATAATTGCATTCAATGATCTTGTTTTATAATTAAAAAATTGTTCGCCGCCAATTACAGATCCACATTGCACTTCCTTAGTCTGAGCTAGAAATCTTTGACCTGCCTTTGTTGATCTCGGACTAGTCTCTACTGGGGCGGACTCGCTATCACAACCCCTAGGTCCTTCTAGTAAATCTTGTTTGGAAAAGGTACAGACAAATAGCACTTTGTGGATCTAAGTTAAAGGGATAGTTGCAGTAAATACTTACTGCAGCACTAATAGGGTACCATTATTACAAGTAGCTCTCATGCAAGGAGGGAGGGTTGTGGTGATTTCGTGTGGTATTACTTTACCGAAGTCGCTGCGGCAATCACTGTCACGTACTAGAAAAAATAGAATATATAAAACTGACAATCAAAATATATTATGTAACAAAATGTGTCATCAAACGATAACATTGATTACGTTTTCAATTTTTAAGCTAACAAAAGAGCAAATACAAAAAGTAAGTTAAGTTGAAATTGTACGATTACTATTTTTTAAAAAGTTCAATTAATTCAAAACGAGCCCAAAAAAATATCTCGATTGACCAATTTTTTTTTAATAAATATATACCTTCGTCTGAAGCACTGTAAATGTCAACAATAAACGACAACGCACAAATGAATAACAGAAATTTTATTTTGACGTATGTCACGTCTACCACTGCAAGAGCCAAAGCAGTATTATCATAGACTTGAGTAGAAATGTAGTCGGATGACAAATTTTGCGTTTTTTCATCGTGCTTCCCAATGCAGATATAAAAAGTTATCAAATCACCTACAGTTTTATCAGAACAGTTCACTATATTTGAAATTAGTGCAAACAATTCTAAAAGCTCTATTTGTGCACATGGTTTACACAAAATATGGAGTATCTCATGATATGATAGAATAGAATTCAATTCTCTAACATTTAATTATATATATTTGAAATGAAAAGATGTGTACATGTGAACATTAAAAAATTATTTTGACTTTAAAACCGTACACAAGATGGAAAATACAAAAAAAAATAATTCAAAATGATATTATCTACTTACCTGGATTATGGGGTCACAGAAATAAATCATCGAACTCTCTACAAAAATGTGGAAAACGCAAAAACTAAAATCAAAAAGTTGCGTGCATGCTGCATACTTTTCAAATCCGACGTCACCTAAAGCTGATAACGAAATCCAGCTATTCGAAACGAAATAGGTTAAAAAATATGAAACCTGCATTTTTTAGAGTAGCTGAATAAATGTCACTAGTGGAATATAAACATACATTTCCATAGAAAGTGTTCAAATTGCGTCAATGAAGTCCTAGAATCAGACGTCATTGCATCAAAATATCTCTAATAGGCTCCACTATCGATGCTACAACAAGTAGCAGGTAACTGGCAATTTTGCTACTTGATCGCAAAGTTGATCGAAGCCAGTTACAAATCCACATTGCACTTCCTTAGCAAGAGTTAGGCCCTTTGACTTGCCCGTGTTGTTCTCGGGCTAGGCTCCGTGGGGGCGGAACCTCTATCAGAAGCATATCAAGCACATCTTGTGTAGGAGCGGTACAGACAAATAGTAGGTACTTTGCGGATCTAAATTGAAGGGATATTTAGAATAAATAATTACCTTATCGTTATTAGTTCACCATCCCTACAAGTAGCGCTAATGCAGCCGGGGAGGGTAGTGGTGACCCCGCTTGATATTACTGTACCCAAGTTGGTGAGGCAAGAACGGTTATGTGCTAAGGAAAATATTGAAATTCATATAACTGCATGAGACAATAAAAAAAAATGTACTTAACGAAACGTGTTATAAAGAGACAACACAACAGTCAACTACAAAAATAAATCAATACGGCATATTAAAAAAAAAACAGCACAAATAATAGATTACTGTTTTTTTTTAGAAAGTTCAATAATTTCAAAATAAACCGAAAAATCGATTATTAGATGTTCGAGTATTTCAATTTCGACAGCTATTCTGCTGAAATTTCTTTTTTTTTTTTAGAATAAATATACCTCTGTATAAAGCACTGGTACTGTAAACGTCAACAAAAATAAACGACAACGCACAAATGAATAACAAAAATTTCATTTTGATATCTATAACGTTAACTGTTAAGAGGAAAAACGATATTAACGAAGGTTCGAGTTAGAAATGTAGTCGGATGACAAATTTTGCATTTTTTCACCTTGCATCCCAATGCAGATAAAACAAGTTATCGAATGACCTACAGTTTTATCAGAAGGGTTCACTATTTTTGAAATTAATGCAAGAATTATCAAAACAATAATTCGAAAACTCTCTTACAATTAGTACACAATCATCATCAACCAAAATATGGGATATCGCATGAGATGATAGAATGCAGACGAAATGTTATTTTTATTGATATTTCAGTGCTCCAACATTTAGATTATATAAATTTTAAATGAAAAGATGTGAACATGTGGAACTTATTATTAAAAATTTAAATAATTCAAAATGATTTATCTACTTACCTGGATTGGGGCCACAGAAATACAAAACTCATCGAACTGTCCACAAAAATGTGGAAAACGCAAAACCAAAAATGAAAAAGTTGCGCGCATGATGCATCCCATACTTTTGAAATCCGACGTAACCGATAGCTTCAACAACGAAATTCCGCTGATCGAAACGAAAAAATATGGAACCCGCATGTTTTCTTTCGTCATTTTAATCCGATTTACGTCCTTGAAAAATTAGAATTTGCCTGTGATATGCGGTATATGTACATATATGCAAGGTAGCATTAATGCTTTTGCTTTTTTATGATTTAGTTATTCATTCACAAAACTATATAGCAGACATAAATAGGTACATAAATAAAGCTTGTAGTTAGAATCTAGATTGAATAATAGAATATACTGATGTATAAATTAAAAAAGTTATTTTGACAACTACCGCGAGATCTACAAAATGTTAATTAAATTTCCAGTTCATGAAAATTTTAAGTAAAATGGTTTTAATAGCTAGTTTAGGTGTATAAACTGTTAAGTAAATTTTGCAAATGGTACAAACGAAAAACTGTCTAATTTGTGACGAATTGCTCAGTCTGGCCTGTCTGGCTATTCCAACAGCGACATCTAGAGAAGTATGGGAGATCAACGTATTTATAGAAGCCTCTCTAAATAAATCAGTGTAGAAATCATTAGCTGTGCCATCGTTTTTATACTAACTAAATTCGGCATGGACTTTGTACTTAATCTATAACATGGACCAAGTTTGTAACCATTCCAGTATCTGCACTTGAAATTTAACACCCTTCAAACATTTTTCTAGGTGCGCTACTGGTACATAGTTGCGATACTCTTTTTTTCACCTTCCCGCAGAGTTCGAGGGCAGTACTAAAAACAATCGCTGTTCGTTCCAATAAATGATGCCGAATCCAGTTACTATAAGATCGATGGTTTTAGTTCTCCCCAGCTTTGCGGCCTCTATCGTTACATTTCCGAAATTCGAAATTTTAAAATAGAATACATTAGCTGTTTTCTTTTACTCATGATTTCGGAATCATAACGCGTTACGATCCGAAATCTAGCAATTTTCCAGCGGAAAGCTCACTTGAGTGCCTTTCGATTTGGTAAAAATAGTAGCTATTAGTAGTTAATAGCAACTTAGAGTTACTCTGAACTGATATGTATGTGGAAATTAAGCTCTAATCTATATTTGAATTTTGTGATCTACAGAGCAATCAGAGTTTTTTTAACAGACCAATAGTCTCATGGTCAATTAACCCATAATATACCCAAGGATTTTATATAAAATCCTTTAGTATACCTATGTAGTATACCTATGTAGTACCCTCAAGATACACATTGTGAAAACTGAAAACTAGACATTAGTAACATTCTTCCAAAATCGCCTTCAATGGTATTTCATAATGAAAATGAAGTAGAACATAACCTAAAAGTTTTTCGTGGTTTTAACTCTCATCTCAAGCTTAAAAAATGTCCATATTAAATAAATCACTTTCCAGAATATCCGGAAATTTGTTACATATCGTAAGTACAATTCTATTTTATACCTTAAATTAAATAAAACGTCTAAGAAAATTTGTTTTAGGCCAAATACTCGGTAAATATTTCCAATAGTACAAACCCTTTTGTGTTTAAAACGAATTTTACGCCAGAGGAGCAACAAAAAGTACTTAGTATTTTAAACAGCTCTAATCTTGAGCAATTGGCAAGGTAATCTTTTAATACAAGCTTTCGTTATTGTTATGACTGTCACAAGCTAATGCCCCTGCTAATGACAATATGATGTAATTAGATAGAAGTAGGTACTCTTCACGATAGTTTTGATTTAGTTTCAGTGTATCGCAAAGTAGAATAAAAAATTTAGAATCATGGAGAACTAAAAAAGGGCCATTTAGGAGTTTAAATGAAGTATTAGAAGTTGACGGTTTAGGTGAGAAAGTGTTAGAGAAAATTTGTGAAAACATAATTAATTACAATACTGACGAAACTACCATCAAAAAGAATAATGGGATAAACAAAAGGCTTAAACAACTAGTATCACCACCAATTCCACCAAACGTTGTTAATGTAAGTACGAGTTAGAATTAGAAATGATTATTGCTGATGTAAGGTTTTCATTGTTGCAGAAAATTCAGTCAACTGTAGGTATACATTTAGGACCAATGGGTATAAGTTGGGCCAAATTGTCGCGGGTTCAAAATGAACTTAACAACTGGAACTCTTTAGATTTTAGCACGCTTCCCAAAAAAATGTTGCCAACGGAGACTTTTGGACTGGTAAAATTTATTCTCATAATAACTAAACCGTTAATTACATTAAATTGCTTATAAATATGCTCCGATAATAAAATGGAGAATTGAAGGATGCTTATATAATAAAAATTTATAATTAAAAAAAATGCATCTCATTGTGATTTAGTTGTGTTATTGTATATTTAAGTTACTATAATCCAAATGCTATGGGCAACAACTAGTTGTATACAAATTCTGTAGATTTTTACATTAGCTAAATTAATTAATACGCATCAAACGTTTTTCCTAAAAATGATGTAAAGTATAACTCGTTTTATCATTGGAACTAAATCAAGAACCAAACTATATTGAAGTAATCTACTTAACTTTATCAGGCAATCCGAGTTCTTCAAAAATTACCCCCTGGGGACATATACATACTAGAGGCCACTCCGTCTATGAGCCCCCAAGCGACAGCGCAAGTATCTGCCATAACCACTTACAACCAACAACTAGAACTAACTTCCATGTTAATAGCTTTGCTTAATACTAGCATTCGACACAATACATCCCTGCAGAATACCGAGACGCTGCCTATCGAGAACATAGTTTATCACCTCAGAACGAGGATACCGGCAAGGTGAGAGAATCGGATGAATATTTTCAAAAGTAAAATATAAAATTTGATCGTAGGTTGTTCCGAACATTGGTAGGGAATGAACGAGTATCGGCATTGACAAAAGTAACGGAATTAGTACAGAACGACGGTAAACTGAACCATTTCTCTCTACCTTGCACTCCCGTTAACGTGAAGGAGCAATTGAAGAACGCATTTCTCTCTCAGACTCCCGCCAGTAAAGAACTACTCGGCCAGGCTTTAATGTTGGTCGTCAGCTTCATGGATTTGTGCGTGTATAAGAATCCTATCAGTTTGGTCGCCATCGCCTCCGGAAAAAATAACAATAAATAGCTCGACTGAGCTTTTACCTCTTCTAGTCAGAAATTGTTTTAATTGTTATTGGGAAAATTCAAGAAAAAGATATGACTATTCCAGTGATTTTTGTAAAATGTTCTAATGCTATAATTGAATCTTAGTGTACTAAAGTAGTGTAACAGAAATCTGTAATAGATTTAAAAAATATAATCCTGTAGAAAATAGTAAATCGTAAATGATTACAAGCCATGTAACCTTCGAGCTTAGGCAACCAATATTGCACGTTGGTCCTGTCGACTAGGAATCCCTAAATCTTAGTGTCATCGATATTAATGATTCGTTTACAATGAACAGTGGCCAACCGTTGCGTCTATGCTAATGCGTTCGCTGATGGAATGAATAAAATGTTGTGAAAAATTACATCAGTCACCGGTGAAACATAATTTTGTGTTCTAAGGTAACCTTGATCTTATTGTTTCAATAACTTTTCTGTTTCAAAGTTATTGGTCACGTGGCTTGTCATCATTTAGGAAAGCTCTGTATTATATTGTTCATATTATGATATAAAATTAATAATAATTTACTGCTTACTTGGAATTTTGTATTTCAGATTTCACGATTAAAGAATTTTTACAATTCAACTTACTCTAATTATTTTAAAGATCTATTTGTAATATTTATGATTGGAAATATAACAAGAAAAATATTTGTGAATTTTATTTCTGAAATGGCAGTTAATAATATCTGTTGTTATTAATAATTATGCTGTTACTGAAAATCTGGAATCATTTTCTTCACACAATAAGATAAACCAATAACTAATATCTACAGGGTGACCCAGAAAAATCAAGCACAGGTTCCTAGGATCAATATAAGATATACAGAGTGTTTCTCAATAACGTACTAATATTTAAGGAGGTTATTCTTGGGTTCATTTTAAGAAAAAAACTTCATATGAGCATATGTCCTAAAAGTCTTAACTTTTAAACTACAGGGTGCTAAAGTTTTATGAAAAAACATTTTTTTATGATAACTTTGGTATTACCCTAGATATTTTTTAAAATTTAGTACACGCCTTCTATTCATCGAATTTGACATGAAAATTTTCCAGTTTTTATACAGAGTGGTCAAAAAAATATGATCGAATATGAAGTTCAGAAAATGTGGAAAACTCGAAATGTTTTAATGAAAACCCCTATTTTTTAACGTATTTGCATTCTGCACTAAAATTAAGTGTAACTTTGTTAAAGTTTTCCTATTTCTAAACCCAGTAGTTTTCATTTTATTTACGAATAAACATTTCCCTTTTCTTGAAATGATGTTTCCATTTGTTTCACACATTTTAGGTTGGCCGTGACAGGTAAGTAACAATCAACATGACAACTGTCACAGGTTTTAATTGTCAAAGTTACACTTCATTCTAGTGCAGAATGCCAATACGTTAAAAAAATTTTGGGTTTCCATTTAAAAATTTCTAGTTTTCCACATTTTCTAAACTTTATATTCGATCATTTTTTTAACCACCCTGTATAAAAACTAGAAAATAATCATGTCAAATTCGATAAATTAGGTTTTCCTCTATAAAATGTCCAAAATGACATGCAATTTGCACAAAAAAATTTACTTATGTTTCGGGAAAACTAAATTTTGCCGACAGTCTGCATCTGTCAACTTTTGTATAAAAATCAAAATATCTCGGAAACGGTCAATCCTCAGTATGGAGTGTGCTATATGTCTTCAACTTAAAAATAGATGCTCTTTCCAAAAATGCAATAATGTACAGGTGGTTCCATTTAAAATAAGAAAATTAGTATCGATTTCCGGTCTAACCGGAAGTACGATGACCTTGAAGATATTTTAGCTTGGTCGGCCCCACGGTCCGTATCACACCATCACAATTTCAAAAAAATCCTTCGAGCGGTTTCTCAGATATCCATCGATGGAATTCGTGGTGGGACACTGTATGTACAAGCATTTATTTGACTTGTGGGGAAAATCAGATTGGATGATAGACCATTTGAAACCACAAAAATTTAGTTTTAAGATTACAAACCGCATCAATTTGCCTCTACAATTGTACATCTAAAGCGCATTGAAGTTAACTCATATTTATGGTTCAATACACCCGTCAGGTAATTTTTATGACAGGCAAAGTTCCCCATATCGATATAAATCTGTTTAGTATTCAAGATTTCTCGTTCCTTATTTACAACCAAAATATTTTATGTAAGGGAATCCCAGCACACCGTCTGCATGTTATTTTTCAACGCATTAACAGGCTGAAGACTTAGAAAGACGTAGAAATTCAAATTTAGGACATATACTATCTATAAATTATAGAACGTCCGTATTTTTATTCGTGGAAAATAAACCACGAAAACATAAGCAACATTGAAATGCTGTGCGGTATATCAAAAACACGGTCGACATTAGATCACAAAACGGAAATAGATACAGAAAAAACGGTTGCCTGCTACTGGTACGGCAACAAAGTTTTATTTTGTACCTGCAAACTGATCGAAAACAGTAGTAAACACTCCGGTTGAGAGACCGGCCAAAACTATCTCGGTCGCCGGTGGCGAAGGAGTCTCCAACGCAATCGCGGGTATCGATCGGTGCGGCAAACTCGACGGCGAAGTCGCGGCGCCGCGAGGTCGTTTCCACAGAAAAACAACACGGCGCGGCGTGGGTAGTTCTAATGTGGCCGCCATTGTACCACGACGCGCGAAAATGTAACGCAAAAATTGGTCCGACGTTCGATAACATTGTCATCACCATAATCGAAATGGATATCGGGATTCTCATTTCGGAGATAATTGAAGTGAGTAACCTGCACGTAGACACGTATGTAGAATGTATGTTTTTTCGTGGGGAACGGTTTCAGCTAGTGCTGGCCGTGTTGCATGTACAGAGTGTGCAAAATAGTGCTTGTAGGTAAAAGCGTACTCGATAAATTCGTGATAAAAACAAAGATTTATAATTCGAAATTGCTTGTACAGTTCGCACTAACTTTCAATATAAAATAGTACTCAGCGACAAAACGATGCATTTTTTTAGGTAATAAAAACCACATTGCTTGAAAGTACAGAGCTTTCATAAATGTTTACAAGCCTCGTGACCCCGAACGAAAAATCATCACCAATATTAATGATTCGTTTACAATGAACAGTAACAAACTGTTACTTCTACGCTGGAGATAATGCGATCGCTGATAGGTTGAATCTATATTCTCGTGAAAAATTACACCAATCAGAGCCGATAAAACAGAATGTTGTATCGTTCCAAACAAAATTACTGGTCACGTGGCTTGTAATCATTTATGAAGACTCTGTAGTATCTGCACAACTTACAGTTAATACGTGACGTTAATATTCATCAAGCTTAAAATAAAAAAAATTGTGCCGCCAAAAACACGAACAACCTTTCTTTCACTTCCAATTCAGAGAATTTTCAACTTGTTTTATATCCGTTTTATCCCTCTTCTTGGATGTAAGAGGAGGCAAGCTAATTTTTGATGGAATACCTTCAGTACAATTCACATAATAAAAGTGTAGATCCCTAGATTTGGGCGAGATCCGGAACATTTCAAAATTGCAAAAATGTTTAAAAAATTTAAAAAATACCTATTTTATCTGAATTTTTTACTTATATCTTGGAACCTATGCATTTTGGAAGAATATTGAAGAGGAAATTTTAGATTTCAATTTTGCGCAATATACTGTAAGTTAAAAATATTTAAATTTATTACCGATGTTGCAAAATAGCCATAATTGATGAAAAAAGGCAAAATAATCAAGTTTTTTGCATAATTTTTTAAAAAGATTTTAATTGCTCGTTCTAATTTTTGTAAAGAAAACACTTTAGAGTATAATAAAACAACACACCAAATTTCATTAAAATCGGTTCAAGTTTTTTGAAAAAAATTTTGGAAAAATTTTCAAAATATTGCACAGCCTCAAATAAAGCTTCTAGATACTTAAGTTAACTCTATTTTTTTATTTTTAAACAATTACAATACATTTATCAATTTGCAATTTAGTTTTCTTCAAAAATTATAATTTTAAAGTACTCGGAAAGACGCTTCTTCAAAAAAAAAGAAAGTTAAATTCCGTTTATTGTTTCTCGAGATATAAACGGCATTTACCGTTTATTTATAAACAATTTAGCAATAATCTTTGATCCAGTGGCTTCGTTTTTCCGAGTTCTAAGCTGGAAAAATTTTTCATATCTATAAGTTATCGGCAACATAGATAAATCAACGGAAAAGCTGTCGCTCGCACTCGCGAAAAGTGACTCAAAACATAAAAAGTGGGGGAGGGGGCTTTCGCTCCGAGACCGATGTGTCGCGAGCCAAGAAAGTCGAATATCGTAATGCCAACTGTCTAATTTGCACATTTCGTTATAAACAAAGTTTATTATTTATGCATTAAATATACTGTATATGCTATCGCATTTTTTCAATTAAAAAATTTGTTTACGTATGTATTTCAGCACTCTGGATATGAATGTATTTAGTTATAATTATTTAAATAATTTTTGTTTAAACAAAATAAAAAATTTTTTTTCATTTGGAAATTATTATTTTTTGTTCAATACAGATAGAATTAAGAAAAAATAGTAGCTTTATTCCAATAACATAACCTTATTACTGATCTGAGGCTGGAAATTTGTTGGGTTGGTACTTCTGAACTTCACGAAGAAATTGACGAAAATTAGAACAAGTTCTAATTTGTCAAGAACTTGATGAATAAATTCTTAAAGTTATTTGACAGCAGATTTGGTGCATTACACTACTTGTCCATTTTCTTGATAAAGCTACTTCATGAATTAATTCATCAATAAATTGTCAATGCAAAACAGCTTTTAAAAATGTATTTAATACGGTTTTAAATTATCCAAAATATATATCAGTTTGAAAAGGTAATTGTTATGCGTTTAAGGGCTATAGGGGTGCCATATCTGCATTACTGTTAAATTCGTTTGTATTCATGGAGAAAAAAAAAAGACAAAAGATATAACTGCCCGTATGCATTTAGCAAATCTAATATTTTTGATAAAACTAGAAATACACAGGTATATTTGCATTTTAAACCGAATAGCGATTTCAAATTAAATGGAGATAAATTAATATTGAGCTAGTGATAGCGAGGAATGGGGATTTGTGCAGTCCTCGAAAAGGTCGACAGCCTACCAGTCCTGTGCAAGCTGATGCCTTTTTAAAGTGAATTAATCAAACCGTATTAACTGCTATAAAGTGCTTCATGCATCGTTATTGCCACGAAATGGCTTTTCGCATGTTATACTGTTGTGAGAGGAATATGTAATTGACGGAATCTTAAATAAATGTCATGTGACAGGATTTGAAATTTAAATGCAACATGTATTTTTTATAACATACTACACCATTGACGTAGAAAGTAACGCCATATTCGTCGTGGCCTACTGACGTCGGGATTTGACGTATTGCGACGATACAAGATCCCAAATCCGTATAAAGGCAATAATATTGAAGTTAATACGAAAATTATGTCAAACTGCAACAAGAAAAAAATTACGCTTTACGCCTGCCCTGTTTTATTACTATATTTATTCACTTACAAATAATTCCAATGTTCTTCTTGCAAGATAAAGTGTTGCCTAGTCTGCAGGTTGAAGCATAATTAATATTTTCAGTTTCAATGGTATAAAAAAATCTGTATATGGAGTTGAATCGTATACTAACCATGCTAGTAGGAAAATTTACGACATACACTTTAAAATTTTTGTTATCAACGAACCGGAGGGGATTTCAGGGTACATATAAAGTCATGAAATTAGTACGGACCCTGTTGCATAGTCATGAGTCATCACCATACAAGATATCCGAGAAACTCCTGAATATTGAACGTTTTATAATTACCCCCCACAAATTTCACCATTTTACATTCAACAGATCCACATTTACCTTCGCCTAATTCCTACAAGTCACGATATTGCAGAACACAAGACATTATACCTTTTATTCATTGTCTTGAGTTGTGTGCATGCCACGGCGCCATTAGAATGGGCGGACTCGAAATTCCACAAAATTTAATTTGGAATTGAACTGGAAGCCATAGTATTTTCTGAATTATGTTATTGGGTATTCCGTAAAACAAAAAGAAAGTGGATCCTGATCAGATATAAATTTTAAAAGCTGGCAACCGCTACCCCTTACCCCCCCAAGTCGATGATCAGTACCCTCTGTTTGGAAAACCACGAGTGCTCGTACTTTAAAAATCAATTAAAAAACATTATGTTTAAACTTAATTATACTTATTAACATTCTATTTTTTTTCTTTTAATAACAATTATTACTGATTATAAATTAACAAAACCATTAGTAAAAGCTTTAAAAATCAATTTCTTAAACCAAAACTACAAGATAATGGGCTAAAAACAGACATAAGCTACACGCTACAAATAATGTAAAAAAAATGTCCACATTAATTACCATTATAAAGATAATTCACACTTTCACAACTGTTCGTACCTTAAGAATTGGGTGAAATGGAATGGAATGGTGGAAATTGTCAGCATGTCAACCGTTTGCTTGAAGTGTTGATAGTGGTATTCCTGCATTCGGCCAGATTAATTTTCTTAGATGCTTTTATTCACAGTCCCTGAGCGAACTATGACATACCGAATTTACTTATTGAATATTTGGCAAGCGAAGACATGCTTCTAAACGATATGCACCATCCACACGATACGACACTTGTTTACCTTCAAAAGATACGTGTACACATACAGATGTACACATATACAGGGCTGGAAAATCCACATGGTCCATCTGCCTTTACATGAGAGCGACAAAGTAAAGTAAAGAAAACCGTGCGATAGACAAGGATGGCTATAGTGAAAACGTTCCGTAATCTGAATAGTCACCGCCCGTTTCGGGTTAGAACTATTCAGATTATGAAACGTCTTCAATCTAACCATCCTTGTCTATCGCACGGATGTCTATGACTTATTTTATAGCTCTCATGTAACGGCCGATGAACCATGGGGACTTTCCGAACCTGTATAAACTTAGCTAACCTGACGTATCAGTTTAATAAATCTTGACTATGGTGTGGGATGTATGTAGAACCACTGGTCTATTATATAATAGACCAGTGGTTCTTAACCTTTTGTTTACCGAGGAAATACAATATTTTTTTGTTGTTGCGGACCCCCACTTATTGTTAGTTAGATATAAGTCCCAATTTAAATTGCTTTGAAATATTAATTCTAAATTGCACACCATACATTTTTGGAAAAATGAAGAATAAGTTGTACTCTGACTCTGACTAGTGCAATTTTTTAATTAATTGTTATTAGTGGATAAATGTTCCTAAAAATTTCGCGGACCCCTTGGGAGGAGATGGACGACCCCCAAGAATGGTGCAGTCATGTGCAGAAGCTTAAAATTTTTACAAAATAAGATAATCCTCACTTCAAGCGCATATGTTTGGAGGGCGTTAAAACCTACAGATTTTTTCAAATGTCAAAGGAACGATCTAATCTGCTGGCTTTTCCATAAGCTGTTTCGCACGCATAGGTTTAAAATAAACTATAAATCAATACAGGCAATAAATCATCTGCACCAATTTTCAGAAGGCAGAGAACTTTTTCTTTATCAGATCGCTGGGCGAAGTGTTTACCCTCGTAAAATGGCTGCGTTATCAATAAAATTCCTGTCGTCCAGATCTCATTATGATAACGGACAGGACAGACACTATCTAATGAAAGGCGTACATTTCTTCAGGTCGCTGAACTAAGGGCGTTCACGATCATAATTTAAGTGCACCTGGTGAATTT